CCACCCTGTCCTGGCACCTCAAGCACAGCATAAGGAACAAGAAGGTCCTGATTGAGCTCTGAAGGAAAGCCACGGCTCAGAGCGCGCGATGCAATACCTATTTACAAGGAGATCCTCCATGTGTCCTTAAGCTGTTGTAGCAAAGCTTTGTGCAACGAAGGTGCAAAGAATACACAACTCTTGACTAAAAATCCAGTTGTGTGTGGGTGTGCAGTGATGTAGTAGATGTACTCGTGTGCACACATGCATATGGGGTCCTATGTGCAACGAAGAGGACATTGAAGATAATGGTCTTGTGCAAACCCCAAATAGTTTTTACCTCAATGTCAAGATAAAGCCTCTCGTGCTAAATGGGGGTGATGTAAATAAGACTCAGAAGGACTTTTCAGAGAGGTGCAGATAAAGCCCCAAGGAAGAATCACACTTTTGTACAGAGGAATATTCATTGCACAGAAGCAATGTGCTTTTAGCACTGCGATGTCCTGCCGTGGGCTCCTGGTCCTGCTCACTGTGTGGCACACGCTGCCTTCTTCCGTGGGACAGTTGTGGTGATGATCAATTCTCCTGCAGTAATAATTAGTTCTCCTGCTGTAACCATCCCATGACACGCTCTTTGTCGTGTTTTGTCTTTTTTGGTGGGGTTGTGACAGGCGAGCCCCTCTCTGTTCTGGGGAGAGGTATCTGTTCCCTTCCTATGGCAACCCCAGGGCCCCACATACCAGCTCTACATGTGCTGGTTGACACAGGACAGCAGTCCTTGAGACTTGGGACCAAGTCTGTGTCCTAGAACAGCCACCAAAGCCTCACCTCCATGGGACATGGGTGATCAGGGGGAGAACTGTTGGGTCCCCTAGGGGTGCTGGAGCTGTGATGCCTGTGGAACTCAGGAGGTACTGTGAATGCCTTGCACTTCTGGGGGATCTTTCACTACAGGTGGGGAGTGCCAGTGTTTCCCTGGGGGTATCAGGCATCCCTAGTGGTGTGAGAATGTCCCCAGTCTTCATTTGTGTGCTGGGGCACCGGGGAGCTCCCAGGGATGCGGGGTATCCATAGAAGTCACTCACCGTGGAGGCGGTGGGCTTGGATTTATCCTTGGAGCAAGACATGTGTATGCGGGGGACAAGGGATGCCTCGCTGCCCACAGAGCCATCGGGGCTGGCCAGGCTGAGCAGCAGCAAGTTGGTGCAGGCGAAGGATCGCTTCAGGCTGTAGCCGCTTTGGGAAGAGCTGATCCTAGGCAACTCTGTGCCGGGGGAGCTGACACATGGTGGGGCAGTGACCCCCAGTCACGGCAAGGAAGCACAGCACCTCGCCCAACTGTGAGACCCTTCCAACCCCCCGTCTCCTACCACCACCACCACCCCTCCATCACCCCCATTACCTCCCTACTCTCTACTTTTCCCTGTCCCCTCAAGCCCTCACACAGACCCTCTAGCTTCCAGTGTCCCCGTTCCCCAGAGCCTCCAGATGACCTGCAGGGATCCTGCTGCTCCCCCCTCCCGCCCCCAGTGCTCCCCATAGCCCACGACCACCACCCTTCAGCCCCCCACTCCTTGTACCCACTCTGAGCTGCCTTATACCTAGGGGTGGAGGTGGCTGCATATTTGGTGGAGACTTGGGGGACCAGCAAAGAATGGGAGGCAGGGGGATGTGCCTGGCTGCCTGTCAAGGGGTCCATGGCCTCCTGGATCTCCTTTGACTGCAGGACAGTTTTCATCCACGTGTTGGCCACAGCTCTGCAGGCCCAACGTCACAAATGTCAACAGAGACTGCTGCTATCACACAGTTCCGTGAGGTCACCATGCTCCTGTTCCAACCCTTCGCATTCCGTGCCTCCTGGCACACTGAGAATTCCTCTTTTAGTCATTTCTATCACCAAAGTAGCCACCAAAATATCTGCAGATTTAGCACTAGATTAAAGACTGGTACTTCTCAGTAGAAAATGCCACAGGTAATAGGGGACAGAGAAGGCAGGAGGACTCCAAGTCAGGAAAGGCTGAAGACAGAATGAAGTGTTGAAGGTGAAGGAGTAAAGAATTTTGGCTTAGCTCTTCAGAACCTCATTTTCCTACTTCTCTTCAAACAAACCAACCAACCTTTTGGGATGACTCAGGAACCTCTGCTCTCCTTCCCAGCTGGATTCTGTGTCTAAACCCACATCACACCGATTCACATGGGATGGGGAGGATGGCACCACTATGCAATGGTGCTGTCTCTGCTCCCCTCTGTTGGCTGGGACATGGGATGACACAGGCAGAAGCTTAATTTTCACTGTAAATACCAGAAGTCAGCAGAAGAGAGCTTGCTGGGCTGTCTGGTAGAGGACAGCTGTTGTGTGCAGGAGCTTGCCATGACAGCCCTCCTCTGAGCAGACTATTGCCCAATTCCCAGCGATCTGCACTGTCCCTACCATTACTGTAAAGCCACACTGCTCTACAGTCAGATAAAAAAAGGGGTGGGGGGGGGGGAAAAAAAAAAAAATCACCAGGGCTTAGCAATAAATCTCAGTGAAAGCAAGGGAAACTCCCATGTAAGTATCGACTGGGAGAGTTTGGACTAAGGAGAAAGTAAATGACAGAAAAGATGAGGTGATGCAGAACAAAGACTCTTTTATAGAAGAGAGAACACAGGTGGCTGCAGCTCCTGCCTTCTTTGCTGAAGGACATCAGCTCCCAGCTGTCAGTGGTGCTCAGGTTCGTCTGCCAGAGGTGGAACAATTTCTCCCGTCTCTAAAATTCTGTCCCCCTGGTGGGATGAGAGAACATGGTGAGGTTTTCTCCTGCACACAATCGACTCCTTTACGCAGCACACTCTGTAAATCTGCGCTGTCCCACTTCTAAACAAGAACTCAATTTATTCTGAACGGTGTAATTTCCTCAACATTTCTCAAGACGCTGCCATGAAGCCACAGCCAGATTTTGTGAAATCTGTACTCTTCACCCTTTTGACGCCACAGAAAAGCAGCCGAGCACTTAAAGTGAATATTGCTTTAAAAACGTACACTGGATTTGTAGCTCTGCAAAACCACCTCCGACACAGCACCACTCCTGCTCATCTCCACGCAGTCTCTAACCCAAAATCCAGCTGAATGCAGAGAGCTCCACAACCTCAGCAAAATCAACCCAATGCCTGAGCTCGGCTCGCTCAAGCTGCAGGCACTGCCTTGGCCTGCTGAGCTGACCTGGCTCCAGTGATCAGGCTGAAGTCAGCATCTCACAGCCTGACCTTCAGTACGTTGCTATGAGGTTGTTAGGGGTGTAACTTTTATTTGAGAATATTTGCTCGCCAACTCGCTACGCCATCAGCTAGCAACTGGAAAGCAGTACAGACCAAACAGTCTGACAGATGCTGTCCACTGTCCCAAGTGAGAACCAAACAAGAAAGCTTCAGTGAGCCCCCCGTGGTCTCTGCGTGCCCCTCAAGCAACAGAACCCACTACAGGCACTATCAGAGCCCTGGGAGGGGATGATGGTGTTTGCTGCTCAGAGGGGGCTGGGCTGTCAGCCCAAATACTTACAAGTCTGCAGCGACAAGGAAGGTGATAAAGAAATCAGCACTGTCTACTCTAAGGGCTCAACAAACACTGTACCCACTGTGCTGTGCTGCTCCAGGATGAGCTGCCTTGTGAACATCAGGTGCCTCCTTCCAGAAATCCTCCCTGCACAGCTGCTGCACCAACCCCCACTTCTGAAGCCATTCTTCCCCTGCCACTGTTTGACAAAGCTAGAAGATGGTATGAATGGACTTACTGGGAATATTGCTGGATTGGACACAGAGATACCATACGGCTTTTTCTGAAAGCACAGAGGACGAGAAAGAAAAAGAACATCACCCAGATGGAGGATAAAGAATTCCCAAAGCAGAGAGTGTAACCCTTCTAAAACATGCACCGTTAAATGTAAAGCTCACTACTCGGGGTCCTTCTTACTCGTTAAAAAAATACCAGCCAGAAAAGCCATAGGAACGGGAGCTTTATCCCAGCATTAGGTCAATGCAAGCTTCCCTCCCACACCAACAGCTGCAGCCCAGCTGTCCCAGCATCTCCCAGGATCAGTGACAATAACAGAATGACAGCACGGTTGGGTCAGAAGCCCATTTGGTTCCGTGCTGTGGGCAGGCTGCCCTCCCCCAGCTCAGCCCAGGGCCCATCCACAGCCATTGGCACCTCCAGGGTTGGGCAGCCCCAGCTTTGGCCAGCAGTGCCAGCACCTCACTGCCCTGTGGGCAAAGAATTTCCCCCTGACAGCCGACCTAAATTTCCCCTCTTATAATTTAAAGCCATTCCCTCTCATCCCACCATTATCTGCCCGTGCAAAAACCCCTTCCCGCTCCTGCTCAAAAGCCCCCTTGAGGCACTGCCGAGGTCTCCCCAGCCCCGCGGTCCACACACCGAAACGTGGTACTTCACGTAGTAGTGGAGGAGCCAGGCAGGGATCAGCACCCGCACCAAGACGAAGCCGCTGGTCTGGTAGGCGTTGAACACCTGCGGGACAGCAGAACGGGACTCAGGGCCGGGGCTCGGGGCCAGGGCTCGGGGCCGGACGCCCAGCCCCGCTCACCTTCTGCCGCCAGAGGCCGCCGGGCTGCAGGAAGCGCTCCCAGAAGGCGGCTATGGGCCCCAGCCGCCGCTCCGGCAGCACAGGTTCCCGCTCGCTCAGCTCCTGGTCTCGCAGCCAGCGGCGCCGAAGGGCACGAAGCTGCTGCAGCCGCAGCTTCTCGTCCTCGGTGTAACCGCCCATGGCGCTGCTGGACCCGACCCCAACCCGGCCTCCGCCCCGGTGCGGAGCTGCGCAGCGGGCACCGTGTCCTTAGCGACGGCGCGCGACACTGACGTCATCGCGCCGCGCCGGAAGTGGAGCTCCGCGTGGTTGGGGCCGCAGCCACAGGCGCGGGGAGTGTCAGGGTCGTGGGTTCGAGTCCCTGTTCCGGCCGACGGTGCTGCTCCTTCTCGCCGCTCCCCTTTGCCGGCAGCGGAGCCGGGCCACGGCGGCCTCGGGCGGATGGCGGGGCCGGAGCTTGGGCTGCTCTTCCAGCAGCGCTTCCTGGCGGCGCGGCGGCTCCGCGGCATGCCCTGGGCGGTGAGCTGGGCCGGGTCGGGGGCTGCGGGGCTCGGCCGCTCCGCTTCAGCTCCGCTCTCGTTGTGCTTTAGGAACTGGAGCAGCAGCTGACGGCCGCCCCGCAGCGCTCCCAGTCCTCCCTGCTCTCAGACATCCTGCACCAGGTACGGCAAAAAGGACCGCGCACACCAAGGAAAAAACAGCCGGGTGCCTTCGAGTACAGCATGGAGCCATCGGCATTTCACAGACCCTCCGCGGCTCAATGGCAGCTCTCTCGTTTCAGACCGTTCTCCACCCGCTCTGTGTGCGGTTTCCCCCGCCCGCCTCCTACAGACGCCGTTTCCTCACCGAGCTCATTAAGAAGGTAGCGCTGCTCTCGGGATTGCGCGCACCTCCGTGCTTCATCTCGTTAATTGGGTATTTAGCGTGTGTTTTGTGCTGTGGGCCACGGTTTGAAACTCTGTTCTCTTTTCACAGCACGAATCCACGGCGGCCGACCCCCTGGATGAGCTGTATGATGCGTTGGCACCTATCTTAAATGAGGAAGAATCCACTCGCTGCTACAAAAGCTACTTACTGGTAAACACCAACGATACTGCTTCATTGCAAATCACTTTTAATCATCTAAAGTAAGCACCTGTTCAGTGCAGGGGAGTTGGACCGGGTGACCTCTGAAGGTCTCCTGCGCTGGAGGTATGGTGGGCATGGATACGGAGTGGGGGGAGCAGTGGTGGAGGGCAGCCCTGCAGAGAAGGAGCTGGGGGTCCTGATGGCTGAAAAGCCGAACGTGAGGCAGCAGTGTGTGATGACAGCTGGGAAAGCAAACGGGATCGTGGGCTGCATCAGCAGAGGGGTGGGCAGCAGGGACAGGGAGGTGAGCGTCCCTCTCTGCTCTGCTCTTGTGAGGCCCCATCTGCAGCACTGCGTCCAGGGCTGGAGCCCCCAGGCCAAGCAAGACGGGGAGCTGTTGGAGAGGGTGCAGGGGAGCCCCAGAGATGATCAGGGGCTGCAGCACCTCCACTACAAAGACAGGCTGAGGGAGCTGGGCTTGTTCAGCCTGGAGCAAAGAAGGCTGGGGGTGACCTCATTGCAGCCTGCAGTACCTAAAGGGAGCCTACAGACAGGAGGGGAGTCAACTCCTGAAAAGGGTGGATAACAGCAGGACAAGGGGAAATGGTTTGAAGTTGGGGGAGGGCAGATTGAGGTTGGATGTCAGGGGAAGTTCTTTGCTGTGAGAGTGGTGAGGTGCTGGAACAGCTGCCCAGAGAGGCTGTGGATGCCCCGTCCATCCCTAGAGGTGTTCAAGGCCAGGTTGGATGGGGCCCTGGGCAGCCTGGGCTGTTACGAAATGTGGAGGTTGGTGGCCCTGCGTGTGGTGGTGGGTTGGAGATTCGTGATCCTTGAGGTCCCTTCCAACCCAGGCCATTCTGTGATTGTGTGTGATTCTATGAGTCAAAGTGTTCAACACCTCCAAAAACCCAGAGTGCTTCCAGCCCTCTTTTCCAGGCTGCAGTACTGCTGTGAGCTGCAGCACGGTGCCTTTGCTGACATCTCTCTCCCCCACGTGTGACCTCCAGCCCTCAGGAGAAGCCGTGACCCTTTCTGAGAGTGTGGCCATTATCTCGCAGGGAACCACAGGGCTCATCACATGGGATGCTGCTCTGCATCTCGCTGAGTGGGCAATGGAGAACCCCAAGTTTTTCACTAACAGGTAACAACAGCATCACGGACAGAACTGGGATTTGCTGCCAGATAACAACTGCTTTCCTCCTATCCTGCAACAGTTCAAGAGATGACTTTGTATTACTTTAAAACAGGCCTTAAGATGAAAACCATGATAGCACCTATTTAATCTGCTCTGTGCTGTAGGCTGTTGAATTTCAGCTCGCATGCTGTCTAACCAGTAACTTACAACAGAATCCCAGCACGGTTGGGCTGAAAGGAGCCTTACAGCCCTCCATCCTCAGCCCATGGTGTGGGCTGTCAGCCACAGCTCAGGCTGCCCAGGGCCCCATGGACGGCTCCAGGTGATCCAGGGATATGGCATATACAGCAACCTCTGCCAGAGCCTCACCTCTGCAATGTTAAATAAGTTCTTTTTCTGATATCCAGTCTAAATGTCCCCTCTTTTAGTATTAAACCATTTCCCTTCGTCCTACCACAACAGATCCTGCTAAAGAATCTGTCCCTTTCTTTCTCATAGCCGTCCTGTAGATACTGAAATTTGCTTTGTATTTAAACACTGGAAAGGAATGGGCACTTCTGGGCACAGCTTCAGCTATATTCATTTCAAGTACCTCACGAAGAAAAGAACTGTGCTTTAGAAACATCTGCTTCTCTGCACTAAGAAAAGAAGTGGACAGCCAGTTCAGATACAGAAAACTGCTCCAGAAGTCCAGAAATAGGTGGAATGATTCTCACCCCTGTGATGGAATTAATAATTCCAGTGATTAATTCTTATAACTGTATCTTGTTGCCAACTTCACCAGTTACTTGAAACACACGTTAGATCGTAGAGGATTTGCTCAAAAATTGAGATAATCTGTAGCTGAATTTACCTTTAGATACACTTGGAATATTCTGATTACACTACAACTAAATGACAGAGTCCTCATCAATACTTATTTTACACCATTAACCTTTAGGACAGTCTTGGAATTAGGAAGTGGAGTCGGCTTCACTGGACTTGTGATCTGCAAAACCTGCAATCCCAAGACGTACGTGTTCAGCGACTGCCACCATGCTGTCCTCAAACAGCTGACAGAAAACATCCGTTTGAATGGCTTCACCCTGGAGCCTGAAACTACGAATCCAGCCCAAGGGCAGGAGGCAGAAGGGCAGGAATATCAGCAGCCCAAACTCCTTGTTGCAGAGCTCGACTGGGGTTCAGTAACAGAACAGCAACTGCTGGCTCTGCACGCAGATGTCGTCATTGCAGCAGGTACCTCTTCCTTCTGGTTATGCCTGGCTTTGCAGTATCATGCAGGAAAAAGCAGGTAACAGAAATAAACACAAAGATATTTGTGTTGGTGTGGCTTGGAGAAGAGAAGGCTCTGGGGAAACCTCGTTGTGGCCCTCCAGTACTTGAAGGGAGCATAAAAACAGGAGGGGGAACGGCTGTTTGTGAGGGTGGACAGTGGTGGGACAAGGGGGAATGGTTTGAAACTGAAACAGGGGAGGTTTAGGTTGGATATGAGGAGGAAGTTTTTCCCCCAGAGGGTGGTGAGGCACTGGCACAGGTTGCCCAAGGAGGCTGTGATGCCCCATCCCTGCAGGCATTCAAGGCCAGGCTGGATGTGGCTCTGGGCAGCCTGGGCTGCTGGTTGGTGACCTGCACACAGCAGGGGTTGGAGCTGGGTGAGCACTGTGGGCCTTTGCAACCCAGGGCATTCTGTGATTCTGTGATGATTTGTGTACAGGGCTCAGACAACCTCAGTTACAGGACCTGCAGAAATGCCTCCCAGCTCCTTGCACCATGTTGTCTTGTTTCACCTATTCAGCAGCTGTTTACCTAACACTGAAGAGCAAATTATTTTTTCTTTCTGTATTTTTATCAATGCAGAAACAGATGATAAATCTGCCACTTTTAAGACCCTCATAATTTTAAATAGGAACCTCAGCATTCTCATGAGGGATAACACTGAAAGCAGCTGTTTTCTTGAATTTGCTCATCATAGAAAACAGTGCATCTTCTAAAATCTCTTCCTGGAAGTTTCTGATCTCTCAGTTAGAAGTACTTATCCTTCCTCCTTCAGGTGAACATTTGATCTTTTATATTCTGCAGCTTGCTTTCTGCTCAGTTCCTAATAAATACTGAGTATTTCCCTTTCTTTCCCATGCAGATGTGGTGTATGATCCAGAGGTAACCTTAGCCCTTATTGGCGTGCTACAGAAGTTCTCCACTTCAAGAGCAGATAGAAAACCTGACATCTATGTTGCTTTGACGGTCCGTAACGCAGACACTTACCACGTGTTCCAGGCTGAACTTGGTGGGTGCCTTTTTCCTTCACTGTATCAGTAGATTTGGCCTCTCCCAATTACTTAATCTGCAGTGGAGATGAACAGGAACGTTTCCTTTTTGCTATGGGTGTTGTCCAGTAATGGGATCCTTGGATTCAGGGGAGTTCTGCCTGAGAGCAGTGACCCTCCTGCATGGGTTTGCTCAGGAAATTCAGACATCTCAGCCTTTTGCTGCATCCTGTCACCACTCTCAGTTGTTACAGCATCAATTTGAGACACGTCACAAGTTTGGTGCTAATAGGAAAGATCATAAGGGTTAAGCCTAGAACAGGAAAAAACCTACACTGCAACTGTGAAAAGGTTTAGATGTGGCCTGCAACTTGTAGCTGTTCTTTGAGGGTTAAGAAGAGAGATTTAAGTAAAGGCAAGGGATGCAGGACTTCAAAGGCCTGTCTTCTGCAGCCTTCCAGCAGTACAGCTGGACCACATCAGTGCTCTGATTAACAAAATAACACTGCTGCATTCCTTGCAGCATGCACAGATCTCTTTGTACAGAACTGGACGTGCAACTTTTACTCTCTATTTCATTAAGCAGAAAAATGATTCCAACGTTTCTCTTTGCAGATAAAGCTGGGATCAGATGGCAGATTATCCCAGCCCACAGCAGTAATATTTTTCTCCATGACACCCAGCCCAACGTGACTGTCCTGCAACTATTGGTATAGATTTGGTAAATACAGCACAGGATTTCAGAGCAGCAGGAGCTATCTTATCCTTGCTCCAAGACTGTCTTACATTCTGGAAGCCTGTGAGAGGCATGCACCAAGAACACCCTTCTGCACGTACCTCATATGCACCAGCTGCTGTCAAGATGAGCGATGTTTCTGCCTGCAGTTGCCAGCATGCGAGCGAGCAGCTGCGCCTTAGAAGCATCTGTGCAGCACAAGCTGTACAGAAAAGCACCCTAATTGTGATGCACTTCGATTCTGTAGAGCTGAATTCAATTATTCAAATGCAGTTTTGATTTGTAAACGACACAGACTCGCCCCGTGCTCCTGCAGCTGTGCGTCTCATACTGACCAAGGAGCAGAGCAGTGTTTTATAATAAACGTTTTTAATACTAAAACCAGCTGTAATTGATGTCAGCTTTTTTTGTAGGTCTGCATATTTGCAAAATGGCAACGTGTGCCACCCCAGAACAACATGAGTAATGCCTGCAGGCTGTGCAGAGCGTCACAGGATCACTTGATGCTGCAGGAACACCTCTGCTCTGCAGTGCTGACAAAAATCACAGCTGGATTTGCATTCCTCTCACCCATTTCCCTGTCCCTTTTGCAAGATGAAGAATTTAGCTTACCTGCTTTGAAAGTTCACATAATCCGTTGCCAGTTTGCCACTGGGCAGTGTTAATCCTGAAGCAGAACTGAATAGGTTATTTTCTCCTCCATTAACCTGCATTTCTAGATGTTGTTTTAGAAGCTACTTTAAGGAAATGAAGAAATACATTCAGTTCCTCCTTCTGCAGTAATTGAGAGAAGACAAATGACAGGTAATTGAAGAAACATTCAAGCTGAAGAAGCCCACGACTGCTGGAATCAAGCTGGATATCTAGAAGCAACCTGACCAGACTTTATTTTTATTTTAGCTGCTTCTCCCTGAGAAGGAAGAATTGGAGTTAATGCACACCAGAAGCCCTCATGAAGCCCTGCTGCACTAGAAGCAGCAGCTTCTTTTATCTTCCCTGCTACAAAAGCCCTCGTGTCACTAAGTTCTGTAAGTTCTAAGATGGCTCATATTGGATCTAACCAAATTTATTACAGGGAGACAAACCTCAAGCTTTCATCAGCATCACTCTGTACAACAGAGAAATGCTTAGTTTACCTCCATGTGCATCACTGGCTAAAGGGGACTGCTGTGACAGGGACAGGAATTTGCTGGAAAACAGTAGAGCAAAAAAAACAACCACAGATAAATCTCTATGGATCATTTGAGCTGGTCAAGCTGCCAAACCCCTACAGGAAGCAACTTTTGGTCCCCAAAAGGAAGTTCCACTTCCCCCAGTGGAAATAAATCACTCCTTGCAAGTCTGTCTACCACGGTGGAAGAGAAAGGTCACATTTGCAAATGACTGCCTGGCTTGGCAAAAGCAGGCATGACATGATATTAAACTCTGTAAGCTGGTTTAGAAACACTGCTGCAGAATCCATTGCAACAACACAGCACTGCTGAACCAGGGGCTCTGAAGAGAGCCAAGCAGGCAGCAGCTCTATGCTAAAACCAAGCACATTTATTCCTTAAACAGCTGCCTTCTGTTTTGAAAAGATGGTTTTGAGAAAGCATCCTGTAAGCACTGGGTCTGCATGAGAATGTGAACAAGGAGGGGAAAAAAAAAGATGAAGGCTACACCAGGGTGACTGCTCCGAAAGTGAAGTGCACTGTCATCACATCCCTCATACTTTAATCTCTTTTCTGTTCTATTGAAATAACACATAAGATGCATTCCTTTCTTGAGGGACAGGGGCACCTTTACTTCAGTATGTGGGCACTGCAGTCACTGAAAGGTGTATTTTCCTCTGTTGAATAAAGCTGTGTTGAATACAGCTGTCCCATACCAGCAGCTGGGATGCTGTATCTTGCATACACTATTAAAAAAAAAAAAAAAAAGAGGAAAAAACCCTCTGAAATTAAGTAGTTCTGTCTCAATGTAAAAAAATACAAGTAGATATTCTGTACATGGCTAGGGAAGACTAGCCAGGAATGTTAACCATAGGAAAAAAGAGAAAAATGCTGTACCATCATTCCAAACAAAAACTCAAATTAAATAGAAGTTTCCCTCTTGCAGAATAAAATCACCAGGAATGTGTTTCTTGTACAGGAGGCAAAACTGGTGCAGTTTATACATGTATTCAAACACCTTCAGCCACAAGAAGCCTCCAGGCAGCCCCATTAAACAGAACTGACACATGAGTTCCTCAAGTCACTACGCTTCCCATGCTCTAGAGATCCATCCCCAGTCACACAGGCAGGCAGATGGCAAGGATCAGCCTCTTCAGCACAGGACCCTCACCTTCCCTAAAAGCTTACACACAACAAGGAACCTCAGCTGCACCTTCTGCACTGTTATTACCCACACAAGAAGCTCCAGTGGTCAGGGAAGAGCTGTGTCTGATCAGCTAAAAATTACAGTTGGAAACAAGACCAAGTGTTTATTCAGCACTTAAGGCAGTCCTGGGGGTGCATACGTGTGGTAGCTTTTTTGTCACAGCATCCCCCAAAAAGTCATTCAGTCTGGGTAAGTAAAGGAAGAACAGTCTGGTCCCAACTCTCATCCCAGCTCAGCTGCTTGGATGCACGAAGGTTTTTCCTGAACTCATGGAGTTTGCCTTCCAGCGAGGGAAATTCCAAGAAAAGCATCTGTAAGTTAAAAAAATAACAGAAAAATACCATTGCATTCCATTGTGGATTAATTTTAGCCTTTCCCAATGCTAACCCTTGACATCAGTGTTGCAGTAAGAAGGAGATCTTTGGTCTTATCCTCCACACGGTTCAATATTGAAATATTTACTATGTTCTTGACAGCTTCAGATTTTTACTCAAATAGAAATGTGGCCAGTAAGACCCAGCAGGCAAAGCAGTGCCCTCTGAGAATGCAAAATACACAGATTGTCACACAAGAGTGACGTGGCTCACGCAGCAACACTTCTGTGGTCAGAGCTAGTAGGAAAGAATCATCTCTCATGTCTTTACCTTCAGCTGTTCTGCAAGCTCATCTGAATCCCTGAATATCAGCCCGTTTTCATTGTGTTTCACAAGTTCAGGTAAACTGTGAACAAAAGTCAGAGAAAGAAAATAGAAGAAAAAGAAGTGAGTGGGACATACACTGCAGAAGTTGCACTGTGCATCTTTGCTACGAAGAGCACAGGAAGGGGTTGAACTCCTGACAAAATGGAACCAGAGGCAGTTACTGGAGATTGCATTAAACTTGTCTTGCAGCACAGTACAAAAGGGCCCTCCGTCACTGTGCCACCCATCTGCACATGTCAAAATGAGGGCAATAATCAACTTTAATCCATAAGGAAAATCTGCCCATGCTCAGTACCCGAGATACTTGCAATTAATACCTATTTATCTGTCAGAACTGCATTTTCCCCCCAAAGGACTGTGCACTACTGCATATATTCCCCTCTTCACACAACACACACCTGTCTACACAGAATGAAGCTTTGACTGTCTTTTAAATGAAGTACACAGCAACACAGGATGATGGTTATTCATTTCCAAGGCAAGTGGTTGCATTAAATGCTCCACAGTTTGTAGAAACTGACGTTAATTTTTAGCTGCCCTTAAATAAAATGATTTTGACATTTAAAGTTTGTCCTTTTGAATCATAACCAAAGGTTGTTAAAGCACAGTACTGGAATCTCACTGATACATGCAGAAGCTGCTGAACTCTTTGTAAGAATAGTGCTTATATGATCCTTTAAATCCTGGTAACAGAATAAGCAAACTCTTACCATTCAAAATATATTGCACACACAGGTAAGCAACAGCCAAACATGTCTACCACCTTCATAGGCAAATCCAATCCACTAGATGACTTATGGAGACACACACCCAAGTCTGCTGACCCTAAAAAGCAAACAAAGCAGACAAGGCCTTGAATTCTCTGAAGCAGCTCTTCTGCTCTTACTGCATACTCATATGTACGTGGGGCTTTTTTTTGAGGTGATGTGAGCTGAATATGAGCAAGAGATATTGATCTGAAACCCAAGATCAAATTGGATATGTACATGTATACAGGGCGCTGCATTGGGTCAGGGCAACCCCAGGTACTGATACAGACCGGGGGAAGATCTCCTTGAGAGCAGCCCTGAGGAGGAGAACCTGGGGGTCCTGGTGGATGAGGAGCTGGACATGAGGCAGCAGTGAGCGCCTGCAGCCCGGAAGGCCAGCAGTGCTCTGGGCTGCATGAAAAAGGGGGGGCAGCAGGGACAGGGAGGTGAGCGTCCCTCTCTGCTCTGCTCTTGTGAGGCCCCATCTGCAGCACTGCGTCCAGGGCTGGAGCCCCCAGGCCAAGCAAGATGGGGAGCTGTTGGAGGGGGTGCAGGGGAGCCCCAGAGATGATCAGGGGCTGCAGCACCTCCACTACAAAGACAGGCTGAGGGAGCTGGGCTCTGAGTGGGTCCAGAGGAGGGCGCTGGGATGGTCAGAGGGCTGGAGCAGCTCTCCTGTGAGAAAGGTTGAGGGAACTGGGCTTGTTTAGCTTGGAAAGGGGAAATCTTCAGGGAGACTTCATTGTGGCCTTCCAGTACTTGAAGGGAGCATAAAAACAGGAGAGTGAACGGCTGTTTGTGAGGGTGGATGGTGACAGGACAAGGGGGAACGGTTTTAAACTGAGACAGGGAGGTTTAGGTTGGATATGAGGAGGAAGTTTTTCCCCCAGAGGGTGGTGAGGCACTGGCACAGGTTGCCCAAGGAGGCTGTGGATGCCCCATCCCTGCAGGCATTCGAGGCCAGGCTGGATGTGGCTCTGGGCAGCCTGGGCTGCTGGTTGGCGACCTGCACACCGCAGGGGTTGGAGCTGCATAACTGTGGTCCTTTTCAGCCCAAACCATTCTACGATCTTATGACTACTGTACTGAGCTTATCACACTGCCTGCAATAGCATGAATGAAGGGAACACCATTCCAAAAACATCATTATTTAGAATTTCAGCTTCTTTTGGGTGCTCAGTCAAAAACTGAGGTGTCGTTTCTGACCTGCTTAAGAGAGTGAACTGGAACATGAACACACACACTGTATTCCAGCACAGTTAGAAAAATGGGGAAAAATAATAACAGGCAGTAATAGCAACACAGGTACTATGACTCTGCTGACTTGTTCTTCCATACTTCATCACATCAAATCTATATCATAATTCACTGTTTACCAAGTAAAACTGGGTAATCCTCAGGTTCCAGCCATGGTGTACAGATCTGGATATGTTTGAAGTGCAGTTTCTTTATCAGCCCATTGTAGTACTCTTTTAGGGGTCCTTTGCCTTTTTAAAGCAAGGAAAAAAAAAAGCAGTGATTTTTGATGATTGAAAATCAGGTGCAATCAGTGCATGCTGCTGTACAGGTGACA